GTGGGTCCCGCCGCCCCACATGTCGTGACTTGAGTCGCCTGTATCGCTCGTGCGTGGACGCGTCCGGCGCAATGTTGGGCCTGCGCACCGTGCACAAATAATTCCCTTTCTAATGTGTTGGTTTTGTGCTAAGCCACCGCAAATATTATGGTTCTATTACTCCCAAGAAACGACATTCTTTTTGGGCATGATGTCGAAGCATCTACGGGGCCGTCCGCCATACATGTCGTGCACAATGAGATCCACTAGCCAATACAATATACCCCAAAAAAACTAGCCAATTACTATATGACAGTACTCGGTTGCGCGACCGAGGGGAAGTTTATAGCTGGCCGGCTCGAAGCAAGCTGACAAAAGTGAATTCGCGGGGTTCTTTCCGCCGGGCGCGCGGCCGGCGCGCGGGGATGGCGACAGGAAAAGCCAGGAGACACCGCACGACACGTTGGCTCTTTCCTTGATCAACCCTCCGCCTCGATCCCCTCTGTGCGCTCAAACCCATAGAAATGGAGGGCGAGAAGCAGCCGCCGCCGGTAGTGGACACCGTATCCAAGGTGCTTGACGACGATGACCTTCTCGTAGAGATCCTCCTTCGCGTCGGCTTCCCCAACACCCTTGTCCGCGCCGCCCTCGTCTGCAAGCGCTGGCTAGGGCATGCCTCCGAACCGGCTTTCCTCCGCCGTTTCCGCGAGCTCCACCCGCCCCGCCTCCTCGGCTTCTACATCAACAGCAACGGGTACGGTCACCCCCCTCCACCGTCCTTTGTCCCGATGTTGCCTCAGCCCGCAGAGCTGGCTGCCATCGTCCGCCAGACAAATTTCAACGCCTACAGGAGGCTATCGATCGGCACGCTTGACTGCCGGAACGGCAGCGTATTCATCGCCTTGTACAACGACAAGAGAACACTTGGGGTGCACCGCCCGCTGTGCCGTGGTGAGAGAGGTCTGACAATCCTGCCATCAGTCCCACGCCCTCAACTCCCCTTCGGCACTTGCTGCACTTTCAGTCAAGTCGTCTCCAAGGAAGGGGATGGCCTGTCCTACTACTACTTGTATGTGGAGTATACCATGGGTGAATCTAGGCTGCATGTATATATGATGCAAGATGGTTCCTGGCACATGCATCATCTGCTGGACATAGGCCAACTCCCTCGTCCTCGTTCAAAACCAAAAGCTGTGCTCGTAGATAATAAAATTTATATGGCGGCTGGCCCAACCAACATCGTTGTCTTGGATTTGAAGACATTGAGTTTCTCCACAGTTCAGCTTCCACAAGGAGTGGAGCATGGCAGCAGAGGCACCACCATCTTGTCACGGGCCGGTGATGCTTCTTGTGTATATCTCATCCACGTTAAGGAGTTTCAACTCCGCATCTGGCTCCGCAAGGAGGACAACTGGTTGCTGGTCGATAGCATCTGCCTGCATGAAATGTGTGCTAATTTGAGGAAGTCAGGTTCCACAATCGAGTATGGGCATAATGTTCTTCTCATGGACCAGGTGGTGGACTATGGTGACTTTGTGTTCTTGCAGATGGGTGGATGTGTACTGTACTTGGATGTCAGGTGCAAGACACTACGTAAAGTGTATGAATACAGCAGCACTCATCTTGGTGATATCTATCCTTTTACAATGATCTGGCCTCCCGCATTCCCCACGGTCAAGTACGATCCTGCAAGGTTTGTCTTCTGGTATTTTGATGATCTTGTTGAGGTTACATAGTTTTGCAATGTATATTGTCCATCACACTATTTTCAAATTGTGTTCGCTATATGATAGATTCCTTAGGATCGATATTGTACAATACTGGTTAACCGACATTGATAAGTGCTTTTGCCGTAAGACAATCTGAAGTCACTTGTGCGTTGTGATAATATTACAAGGTGTTCATTTCTGGTCATTATTTGGGACACACTTTTGTATTAGGGGTGTTTGATGATGAGGGTATCCCTTGTGCATGGGCATGTGTCTTGGTTGGCTAGTTGATAAAGATAACCGTGTGGATAGATAAAAGAAAATAAAGTGGTAGGGGTTACAGTTATTTCCTGCTTGCCAAAAGATTACAGAAGACTACCTTTAAATATGATGGACCCCTAAGTCAAAGAATCTGCTTGGATGTCGTTTTTCTTTTTTGTACAGACTCAGGATTAGTTATAGAATTACATTTGACAGTGTTGATGGTTGTCTTGCCGTTTGCTAGACATGTACTCCCTCTATAAAAAAAATATAAGAGCATACGGAGGGAGTACCAAAGTATCAGACTACGGCATGTAGAATGCTCCAGGGAATGGTTACTTCTGTTAACACTTGTATTGGCAGCATATGCCATTCTTCTTAATTGGTGCTTCTCCTAATTACAGACTCATAATTATTAAAATTTTAGTGGTGCTAAAACATGAATTGTTTGGTGTTCTAGCTTGGAACATCATTCTGCCGCGTTACTGTTTTTACCATCATTCTGCCGCATCACTGTTTTTACCATCGTTCTGCTGCATTTCTAAACTACCCAGCACCTTTAAGTGCAAAACTAAAACTTGGACCTACACAAGTTTACAACATGTTAATTTTTCAGAATGTTGGCTTCTAAGCGTAATTTCTTTGTGGATTGTATATTTCTTATGCAAGATTTCTGATTGATATATATCATTATGGTTTCTCAAAAAAAAAGATGTATCATAATGAAAATTGCCTTCCAGTGGATAATGCAAGTTAACTGCGGTAATTTATGCTTGCATGGCATTTTCCCTTCTATGATCGGAGGTTTGTTTGACTGGACTGCACACTATATAGTGGAAAGTTCCATGTCTGGGATTTGAAGGCATTTAACCTACAACCCTGAAGCTTTTAAGAATATTTGTCGAAACAAATGCTATTTTGAGTTTCGAGCATATATACATGATACTTGCTACTATTGTACTAGCCACTTGTCTTTGTTGCATGATTTGTTTTGTTCATTTGATATTCAGATACTTCATTATCTCCATGCTGACCTTTCTTCTGTTTCCCTTGAAAATAGAACTGCAACCTAAAGAAGAAAGATACAAGGAAGCTCATGGATTGTACCTACGTCCTGAAGCTCCGTCGTGAATGACATGGGTGGAATCAAGTAAGAGCAGTAGTCTGAAGTATTTCCTCTAGTACCTTGTAGCGGTTCAGTAAATGTGTGGTTCCTGCAAACTTTACCTGAAGTGTCGATGTTTTTTGCAATTCACTCGTTTTAATTACCATGTAACTGGAGCATGTACTCCTATGCAACTTCCCATATGCAGGGTAGTTATCTCGTCTCATCTGCTTGCTTCAAAGTCTTATGATTCCACTGCTTGGCTACTTAATAAATTTGGAGAAGCACAATTGTAAAATCTGTTTCAGTTGGCATATTTCTCTAATAAATTTGGAGTAATATAAAAGAAAGTTTCTTTGAGGCCCTGAAAATGTACTTGTGTGCTGGTTCAGAGCAAGGAGAGACCCATGGTATATGCAGCAGTGAGCTCTGGCAAATGCATCGATCACTACTAGCGAGGGGTAAGACAACAGAGTGTTGATGAACTGAAGTCAGTAGAAAAAGTAACAATCTGAGAGATAGATGCATCTAGCAGTCCTACTGAGGAAAGCTGCTTGTGGTCATAGGTGTTGATGCTGATGGAGAAAACAACTTGGCTGCAGAGTGCAAGTTATCCTTCCTGCAATCACGGAAGACAAATTAAAGGGAAGAGATATAGAAATACTAAAAATAATAAAAGAAAAGGAGTTAATAATAATTCAGTGTTTAAAGTATTTGAGGGGTATACCAGACACATATATACAAAATACATACGTGTGCAAAGCTTTAAATAATAATTGAATAAAAGAAATACATATTTTAAAAAAATATTTCAACACTTGATTTCATTTTTCAGAAGTGCATTTTTTTTTTGCAATGCATTCACTTAGTTTCACTAATGATTCAGTAATATTTTAATACATTTCACAAAAAATATGTGCTTTAGTATTATTGTAATACACTTTACAACATGTTTGAAATGCATTTTGACATTTTCAAATGCTTTTGAAATGCATTTCGGTCATCATTGGGTCTATTCAAATATATTTCACATTTTTTCCAAATGCAGTGCAACAGTTTAAAAATTCTGTTTCAATTATTGAAATACATTTTAGCCTTGATTCAGTAATATTCTAAAACATTTGACCCAAATGCGTTTGAAACTACATTGAGTCATGACTCAAATGTACTTCAAATCTATAGAAATGTTGAATGCATTTGGAAAAAAAATCAATTAATCAAATCATTATCGTAATTAAAAATAATATATCACTCATGATTTAAATTACTTGAAAATAATTTTTAGATTCACTAAAACATGACCTAAATATATTTCAAATGCATTCGATATTGAAATGTTATAGAACGAAGACTATAATTTTTTTCAATACATAACTGAAACAAAATGCATTTCGAATTTATAGAATAAAATTTAAATGTATTTGAAATGTTGGAATGCACTTGAAAATTCTCAGAATTGTACTTAAATATTGAAGATATTAAATGAACCATGATTTAAATTACTTGAAAATAGTTTTTAGATTTACTAAAACATCATTGAAATATATTTCAAATTAATTAAATATTGAAAAATTATTGAACGAAGACGGTAATTAATTTCAATGCACAACTGAAACAAATTGAAATGCATTTAAAATTTATTAGAATCACGATGAAATAAAATTTAAATGAATTTGAAATGTTGAAATGCACTCAAAAATTCTCGGAATTGTACTTAAATAGTGCTAAATGATGACTGAAATTGTAGAACTTGAATGATTCAGAAATTTGAGAAAGAAACATTTGAAATGAGTTATCAAACTACTGCTTAAACTTGCAAGATAATCAACTTTGAAGCAAGAAACTGGAATTCAAACTCGCGCCTCAAATCAATGGATCACCACAAAACATGTGTTCCAAGCCGTGTTTGTCAATGGTATTGATGTTTGTCGCAGTACCACCCGTGGTTAGTGGCTCGCCGCAGCTGAGCCCGCGAAGCTGAACCCAGACCCCTGGAGCACGTCCTCCACGATCTCGTCCAGCATCTTCCCCATCTCCGGCGACATATGGTTGCTCCAGTCCCCGACGACCCCCTTCCGGAAGAAAGCGTCGCTCCTGATGCCCGACACGTTCCGCCGCCCGTCCCTGTTGGCCTCCATGTTCCTGAGCTTCTCAATGCTACAAAGATCCACGATATCCTCCACCACCCCTCGCGCCAGCTCCTCCTCGGAGAAGCCGCATCCCATGAACTCCACCGTTGTCTTCAGGTTCGCCGCCAGGTCGCGCAGCATCTCCTCGTACCTCAGGAACAACACCTCGCCCCCGCCACCGGAGCGGCGGCGGCTCACCTCGCAGTACTCGAGCATGTGCCGCCACATGCTTCACCGAGTGTGTTTTGCGCTTGCGCGTCAAGTCGGATGCTTTGATCGATCGGTCCGGAGTCCAGACTAATACTACGTGTATTTGTTTGGGGCTTGTCTTACTGTGCCCCTAGCACGACTTTATGACTTGATTGCACTTTGTACTGACTTGTTGGATGTTTGGGTCGTTGCTTTATAATATAAAGCGGGGGGAAAGACTACGTGTATAACAGAGTGTGAGATTTATTCTCATCAGGTTAATTAAGCACAAGTTGGTGACCTATCCTCTGCAACGATCGGTAGCTAAAAGGGGCCCGTCATGTGATGCTACATGATAGACATACATATGGACAACTATGCAATTAGTTCATTGCTGATTTGCAGTGACTCGGATGTTTCTCTTCTTGTCAGTACTCGCTGCGAGTGGCGGAGCTTGAGCCAAAACCATGGGGGTGGGCTTGGGGCCAAACATAATTGCTTCGGGATGATTTTTAGTGGATACATATATACTCCCTATGTTCTTTTAAAAATATACTTCTAACTTTGTTGAAGGGTTATTCACAAAAAAAAACTTTGTTGAAGGGTCAAACTATCTCAATATTTGACCGAGTTTGTGTAAACATATATAAATGTTTGTCAAATTAAATAGGTATATGATGAAAATATATTTTATTATAAATCTAATGCTATTAATTTGATGGCATAAATGTTGGTACATTATTGTATAAATACGATAAAACATGAAAAAGTTTGACTTTCCAACAAAATTGGAAGTACACTCTTTCAAGGACGGAGGGAATACTTTCTTATGAGCTTGGGGGTGCTCATGGCCCAGGTTGGCCCATGAAGCTCGGTCACTGCTCACTACGCTGCAGAGTAGTTTCTCAAACAAAAACTACACCTTTTTTTAGGGGGGAAAAACCTACACTGCAAAGTATAGTAAACACAAAAAGCCTTTATGAGAGAGTGGGCGAGCGGCAATATGCCTGACAAGCTCATGTGCTGTGGAAGAGTAATGCTAGACACACAGGTTCTTTACAAGGGATTTACAGGATGGTTAGTTTCGATTGGCTGAGATTTCATTAAATGGGGCGGGCCCACCAATAAAACTACGGGGTGCAATTAGAGGAGGGCACACACTCTGTCCGTGAAATTCCGTCGTTCACTGCACGTGCGTGTAGTATTATCGGCTACAGGTGTGTACAGAGGCGCCTCCACGCGGTAAAACCACGTGGAGGTCCACCCCTTCAGCGAGTAGGGCCACTTCATCTTGAAGTAGCTCGAGTTGCGCTTTGTCTGGATGTCGAGTGTGCCGCACTTCTGGTAAACGTCATTCGTCACCTTCTGTGGCTTGGCGTAGAAGAAGTGTTCGGAAAGCACCCAATCTGGCGGGATGCCGAGAAACGCCTCACACAACGTCACGAAGCTTGAGAGGTGGGTGACTATGTTGGGTGGGAGGTGATGGAGATGCACTCGGAGCTGCTTGAGCACCCACTAAAGAAAAAGATGGATCGGGAGGGATAAACCCCATTTGAAAAAGGAGGTGAGGATGGCCCGCCCGTTGCCCATCACTATCGACGGGAGCCAGTTCCCGCGCCCCCGATCCTCGACGGCTGCTGCCAAGGCCGCGACCTAGGAAATCTCCTCCACCACGAAGGAAGAACTAGTTTTCTTGGCCCTCTCAAGCTTTCAGGTGGACGACCACATTGGATATACAGGCTCGAGAGGAAGAAAGAGAAGGAACTGCACGCTAGCGGTTACGAAGAGAGTGGAGGGACGTTCAAAACCCTCCCCACGCATGGCCGTGATTTTTAGCGGGGGAGACGGTGAACCACCGTGAAGAACCCGCTAGACACGCGTCAAAAAAAGAGCTAAAACGTCAATCATGCGCGCTGGAATCCATACGGCCAACATTTAAAACCCACTTACTCGCAAAGTGTCAGTCGGATTTTGTGTCAGTCAGAATTCAGAATTCGGGAGTCTGCTCTCACAGGCGGCCTGACAACGGTCTAACAAACACGCGAAAGAATTTGACTTGATGGCTCAGAAAGATTCGCAGTGATGACTGTAAACATTTCACCTTCCAGTCAGCAGAAACATTTGGTCGGCTGAGAACAAAAACAAGCATCTGACTGTCAGGATCATTCCTGAGTCGAGAAAGCCGTGCATCCAAGCACAAAGACAATCCAAGTGCATAGCATTCGACAAAACCCTAGAGAAGCCGCACTCGTCACAGATCCACTTTGTGTAAATCGCAAGGAGCGCCCGCCATATCCCAGAGGCACGAGTTGACTTCTCACCGAGAGAATCAAATACCCGGCTACGCGGTCTTGGTTCCAAAGAAAGGCATCCGATCAGCGTTCTTCATAAAGGATATTGACCGGAGACACTTATCATTTCAAACCCAGACGCCACAGACCACCACTTAAAATTTGATGATACGCCCACAGTTAGGCCACAAATCGTCCTCTTCCTAAAGAGATATAAAAAGGCTATCACCAATTCTTGTTCCAAATTGCTCACCTCTTCGGCTCCCAAAGGCATGAACATCTGAGTCCGCAGAAGTCTCTAGTCGAACCGATAATGGCACCTCAAGCTCATCGTAAAGTGGGGAACCTCGCCGGAAAGGAACAATCAGTTTTTCCCCAGCGCGACCTTGACCGACTCTGGGGCTACTGTCGGGGTTACAAATATGGGGTAGGCCCAAGTATACAAATGGCCCATCAGGGGGCCAGAGCCCATCAAGGATATCGCCTAGAAAATCATGGGCAAAGAGGCACCACCGTCAGCCCATCGGCGATGAAGCCCAAGTCAGAAGACCAGAGGGGTGGCTCATAATCTAGCTAAGGCCTTACAGTCATATCCTTCACCCCCTGATAGATAAGGCCCTACAGTCAGTCGAGAAGGAGACGGGAGCAGTCGGTTTGTCCTACAATCGGCTGCTACCTAGGATACCTCATACCCACGAGATGACTTCAGCTACCCAACGGTGGTATAATCTAGTTAAATACGACATTTACTAGCAGAAATAGCTAGGAAACAGTACGCCATGCGCGAGGCCATGAACAACATTAGTACCAGCCCGTAATGTACCTGCTCCTGATGCACTCTATGTAGGTCGAGAGGGGAGCACCGGACCAGACTGAGGGTTGAGCAATCACACCTTGTACCTTACGCTAAGAGTAAAGAGCACCACAGAAGTAGGGTATTACCTTCATTGGAGAGGGGCGAATCTGTATAAATCCTTGTGCGTACTCCCGTCTACACCGATTGATAGATACGACTACCTCTATATATATACATACCATTGTAGTATTGCTAGGATTATATCCAGGGCAGTACTCATCCCCGAACATAGATTTTATTTGTTTTTAATTTCTAGAAAATGCAAATGAAGTTTGAAAAACATTAAATGTTGCATAGTGTCATTATATGGCCCTTAGAGCAACTCTATCAGACCCCGCATTTTGCCCACCTGTAAACTGTGTTTGCAGGTCGCACAGGGGCGCTTATGCGGGCTGAAAATTGTGGCGGCAGATTAGAAACCGCAAACAAACCCGTAATTTTTAAACAAAGTTGTTTCGTGCGAGAAATTTAAGTAGTTGCTCGCTGGAGCTCGCTCGCATAGATGGTTCTTCTTCACATAACAAGTTCGTACACGTCACATACATACATAAAGGTTAGATATGCTAGACATGGCCTGCACTACCGCACCACTGCGACAAAATTAAGCTCACCGGAGCTCCTGGGATAGCTGCCCACCGGCGGCGATCAGTCGAAGTCGGAGGAGTCGGACGCGAGGTCGATGTAGAGCTTCGCCTGCTCCGCCTTCATCACGCGCAGGTCAGCCTCCTTCGATGCATGCGCCTGCGATGCCATGACACCCGTCTCGAAGAAGAGGCGCTCGTACTCGAGCTCGAGCCAGATGCGCTCTTCCATCTCTTCCTGCTCCCTCGCCGACCGCTCGAGGACGACGCGCTCGAGGAGCTCCTCTTGCCCCGGGGGGAGGTAGTCCTCAGGCCCGATGACGCCTCGGCACGGCGGCGCATCGGGCACGGCCTCCTCCGGCTCCCTCTTCACCGGAACGAGCGAGCTCGATGCGCCCGCGGATGAGCACCCCGCGGACCCGTGGCCGGATGACCTCGCCGCGGGCCAGTTGCTGGAGGAGGCGCGACAGCGATGGACGAGCTCGAGATCGAAGTCCTCGAGCTCACAGCGGTTG